TGGCAACCGTCTGCTAGACGTCGGTTCTCGGACCCCTGTTCCCACTCAAGGGAGACCCCATCTCTTGCAGGCACCGTGGAAACAGATGGTTGCCTTGACAATAAGCAGACACACTCCGATTGGCTCGTGCTCTGAGGGAGGGGCTGGAGGCAGTGCAGACATGGAGCGACAAGAGAGGGAGCTGCTGACCATTTAATCTTTGTATGTTGTACATTATTTAAATTGTGTTTATTTATTTTGTTGATGACTTAACTGCAGAGGTTCATGTGATACAAGTTTGTGATAAAGTTAACTTGTGTCCAAAGAAATGATCTTTTCAGTCTCTGGGGCATCTCAGCTTTACTTTAGGAGCGCCTGACATACAGCACCTGATTCATGACATAAAATAGAACTGAAAACCTGCCAAAGATTATTCTTGCCAGCTCATCCGTTAAAACTCTCCAGCCAAGAAGTTGTTATGAACTGAATAAATGTAAGTATCTTTCATGTTCTCCCCTCTCTGGCTATAAATAAGGGCAGCTCTAAAATTCTGAAGTACAAGCTACAGTTATGTGCCTCTTGGATAAAAGTGAACATTTCCTCACAAGTGTGCATCATGTCACAGGCTAATACATCAAACCATGGCATTGGAATCTAAAAAAAAGGTCCGAAACATTTTTATGTTGGACCCCTTACTTGTCAAGACTAACCGTTGAAGTATAATAAGTTCAGATCCCTGGGCGAAATTAAATTTCTCAAAGTTAGGTCCTGCACTGGAAAAATACATTGAAGAGCCCCTGCTGCAAAAGGCATATCTGCAGAATTAGCATAAAAGGCAGGTTTTCATCTGCTGGCTTTAAAACTGAGAGCCCCTGGGAGTGTGCTGGCAGAATAATGGACTTTTTAAACTTTTTGACTTCATTGCCCTCTCTGGGCATGACAGGTAAGACACAGGCTCGATGGCTGCACACGGACCAGCACATAGGTGCTACATACTGAGTCCACCTGCTGGGGGAAATTTCAGTTGTCTTTGCTGTGAAATGTGTAAAAAAAAAAAAAAAAAAAGATTTAATTACTGAGCCTTTGTTTTTAACGCAGATGTCAATATGGTTTGAGAATTAGTAGGAAATGTGTAAATCAACACAATGTTGGGCAGACATGACAGTTCCACTTAAATTCATTGAAAAGACAGATATGGAGCCATTTTAACAAGTTACATTAATCAAGTTAGCCAGAGGCGATGTCCAATTTAGCACAGTACAAGACTAATTGGCTGCCGGAGAGACGGGGTAACATCGGGGTCAACTTAACAGAGCTGTGTCTTAAATGGGTAAATGTACCAATGTGTGGACATTTCCTTTTTTTTTGTCTGTTTATTTTATGTTTAGGTCTCATTCAAATTCAAATTTGTGCATTGCTTCAGAAGCGGAGTCATGCTTAAAAGGACTTGAATGTGTCACATGAGTGGCTAATCCCCTCCCCCACACACACACACACACCCACACACACCCACCCACCCCCACCCCCAGTCCAGGAACACAGGTAGTTCAGCCATGTTTTTGATCATGTCAGAAGTAGATGTGACATCAGTGGGCAGTCTGTTTGATGTGTAAATGGCCTGTGGAGAGCTGTGTGCTGTTATCTTGTTGATGCTGCTGTGACACACACATGCACACACCAGTGCTTGTCCATTTACCACTGCCTTAAAGGTCATGCCAGGACAGAAGAATGGCTGTCTTCATTTACTCCTTAAACTGTCACTCGCTGTCTGCTAAAGCAGCAGGGGTTGTTACATGTTCTGGCGTGGGTTTGTAGCCCTGGATGTCAGCCTAGACAACAGCTTTAATTTCATCAATAATACATACACAAAAATGTTGCACTTACAGTCCCCAGCCATTAAAGTGGGCATCCAAGGACTATTCCCAGCATTTTAGTGCCTTTGAAGCGTGAAGACTAACAAGAAAAGTTGTCTTGTACAAAATATTTCAACCCGTCACTCTGATTTTTGTCAACACAGACAGGCAGTAAAGTTGCCTCCAATCAACTGATCTCTCTAACCTACCTTTTATCCCAGCCTGCTCCTTTGGAGGAGGGGGCTGCGGTGCTGCCAATTTAAGCAGCTGCTCATTAGAGAAGCTGTTTATATGAATTGACAGCCAAAATAGCCTGTTCAGTTTGAGGTGGGAGAGACGCATGGTGGTTAAACGCTAAAACCAGAGCTAATGGCCAATTTACTGTATTAGAAAGATAAGAGAAAGTCTTTTAAAAGTGTTTCCACTGTACACCAGGTAATTACGTACAATTGCAGCTGTGGTTCATGGAGGGATGGAAGAAAGCAAGTTTCTCTTCACAACATTCCCCCATCCATGTACAAAAAAAAAAAAAAAAAAAACTATGAGCTTGTTTCTGCATTGTGATTCAATTTGATATTTTACCCAAAGTGGTGCAAAACAAGTGGAAACCAGTGTGGCTCCAGTTTCAGAGGAAATACTGAACGTATAAGGTGCTTAAAAGGCAGGGAGCAAATGAAACTGCTCAAACAGACTCTCGCTCTCTGCAACCCCCAGACCCCCACCTTCAGGCCCTTGGTTAAGTCTAATAGTGTATAGTGGATGTGAGAGGGTTTGAGACGAGGTCAGAGCAAGGATCACCAACTAATTACAGTGCTGAGGCACTCAGCCTCCGTCAGATTGTTTAGAAAGCATTAGGGGGGAAACATGGGCTTCCCTGGTGCATTGCACATAATTAGTTTGGAGCCAAGGTCACAAACAAACACAAGCACGGGGACAAACAGCATCCATACACATACAAAAGCGTTCACAAAGACACACTCTCTATTCTTCTCTCCGGCTCGGCTTTCTCTCTGTCTTGCTCTCTCAGGGGCAACAAGGCACAGCATCTATTAATTTCTTAAATGAATAGCCGACTAATTGATAGTTATTTATTGATGCTTGCTTTTTTATGCACAACACATGCTCCTTACTATTAATTACCTTTAGTGTAGGGCAAGGAGATGTTAAGTATATTTTTAATACACTAATGTATGTATTAAACAAATTAAATGAACAGAAATCATCTATTAAAACATTGCCCTCTTTTCTCACTTAAACTTCAACACAATGATTCACTGCGTTTCTTTTACCCCTGATTTCCATACAACAATAATCACATTTCCTAATCAATAATTTACAGACTAACTGCTGCGGCCTCTTCTCTTAAGTGCTACTTTAGACTGAGGTCACTGACTGTGCCAGAAAATGATGAGTCAGTCAAAAATGTCAAAATTGTTGATGTTTTATAATGAAAAAGGAACTTTGCCATTTTTTTTTTTTATTACAGAACAAATAGCATCTACAAAGGCACAAAGTCTCCTCCATTGCTTTAATCCAGCATACACAGATATGGTAAAGCATATTTGAGGACCAACGCAGAAAATGAGGATGCTAAGCAACAGTGCTACTGTTCAGAGTAAATCTACCACCAGCCCAGGCAGGCACGTTTAGAATTGACAGATGGCTCAACCATGACCGCTGAGAGCGAGGTCGATTAAGAGAGCTGGTGGGCAAAAGGGTTTGGGAAAGAAATGATGAAACAAAATGAAGTTTGGTGCTGCGGTCTGTGTGCAATTATCTGGTCTCCAGACACTCGGGCCTGCTTCGGAATATGCAAGACAATCACATTTCTTAAAACCACACAGAAAAGCTCTCTCATACATAATGCTCACACCGTTACAGAGGCCCTGCAGGCTTTACGACAGACATCAATGTCAGCCCACCCGAACGCTGTAACATTCAACACTGTGCATAAAATTGATTGTCTGTCGTGGTATGTCACGCACACATACACTAAACCGAGCAATGACCTACATTGTTTCCGTACATTAAAAACTCCTCACAGTGGAAAAGCACAGACGTTTGGCCGCGAAGGTCTCAAGATGTATTTTGTTAAATTTTGCATTGAGGCATTTTTTTTCTTGAGACTTTTATGGTATGATGGGTATGTATATATGCACCTTAGCACTTAGATGTGTGGCCTTGCTCGTCCTGATGACTTTGATATGACAGACCCAGCACATGCACCTTGCACATGTTACCCTGAATTCACACTGTAAGCAACATGGTCTACAAACTCACTTCAAGCTAATTCTGTCTCTGTTCAGCTCAGGGAACAGGAAAGCTCTGCTGGAATGTATCTACAGCTGATGAAAAAGGGCAGGGGCTTTTTGGTTGAATCGCAGGTAGAGGAAATGAAGGGTAATGGGAACTAAGTTATCCATCAGACATATGTAAGACTGGCCCTTGTATAAATATAATAGCTAAAGCTTTGATTAGAAAGAGACCAGTAATTTAGACCATTCGATTAAGCAAACCCGCGCTTGATAAGCCAAACAGTGAATCATAGAGTTCCTGCAATTTAAAAAGAGTTAGTGCTGCTGACAAGAGTTAGCAGCTGTGCACAGCTTCCCACCACTCTAAACTCTGTATTTTTTGATGACCGATCTCTACGGTGGGGAGATCTAACCCTTGGGTTATCATCCGTTCCACCTCATATGAAAGTTTAGACACACTGTACTTTTTCTGGCTATTGTGCTATTTTGCAAGCCAATTGCACAGTTCCTGCCAAGCATAAAAAGGTGGAGAGGTGAGGTAAACAAGGAGAGAGAAGAAAGATGAGCATCTACCAAAATCCCGATAAAAGCAAGTGAAGGCTAGTCTTGCATTTGGTGTGCAACTTGAAGGATGAAGGACGCCCAGAGAGAAGATCAAAAAAAGAGCAAAAAATTACCCATTACCCTCTTGAGACTGGATCAGATAAGCTTATATCTATACAAAAACCCTTTAAAGAGAGTGAGTAATAGAAATGTACAGAGAGGATAGACTGACTACATGGAGGAGGGAGTCAGCAGGAGATTGAGCATCTACAGTATGTTGGTACGAAAGTATAAAACTGTAGGTATTTTCATCAAAGTTTATTCGAAGACAGCCTACATCTTTTCAACACGCACGTACACACATGCTTACCTGGATGCCGTCCAGCAGTTTGCTCATGCACCAGAAACTGTCAGCCTCGATGTTCCTCAGAGCCTCTTCCTGGAGACTGGACACGTCAAAGTTTTCTACTTCCTCCTCTAGAGAAGAGAAAGGAGAACACAGAGAGAGAGAGAGGGTGAGAAATGAGCACTGCAGGAGACACACGGGAAGAAACGGGGAGACAGGTGAAAGAAAATGTGAGAGGGAGTTACAGGTAAAAAGGAGGGAGAGAAAGAGTGGAGAGCAATTCAAGCCTACCAGCACAGCAGAGGCTCCGTCATAAGCCCACCATTCAGAACAGGAGAGCAGCAAAGTCAGAGGTGTATGGGAAGGACAAATTCAATGGGGAGTGTGGGCGCTAAGGAAGAGGGGGTGCGGCGGGTTATGAAAGAGATGTATGGAAAGGAATGAAGACACTGACAAATTGGAGCAGAGGAATAAAGAAGGGATGAAGTAATGGAAGGACTGTGGCGGCGGAGCGTGTGGGAAGAAAATAAATAGCGGACTAATAGAGCAGGCGAATGATTATCATCTTTTAAAAACAGTGAGTTTTCCATGGCTGCTTTGAACATTGATCAAATGTCACACTGTCTCCACGCACACGTCATAACGTACTTTTTATAATGCAGACAGTGAATGTACTTAACATATTTTCTTGTGGAAACAGAAGAAAATGATGCAACTTTTTTTGTCTTTGAACTTGCTAAAGTTTTATTACCATCACAGAATCACATAACCAAGTTTTATACTTTCTAATGTAGTCTTTTATTCCTATAATTTTATGCTTTATTTTTGTTGGCATTTGTTTTTGTGATTTCAGTCTTTGCGTTTGACTGTTTATATTTTATGTAAACCTCTATAAAATGACTACAAAGGTGATAGTGAAGAGCGGGGGAGAGGAGGGAGAGAGGTGCAGGCAGGGGGATAAATAGCCTGTAAATACGTAAAGCAGAATTAGGTTCGGACGCATCCCAAAACACACTGCGGGCTGCACAGAGGAAACAATTTCCGAGCAGCGAGCACACCGAGTCCCCCAGTCATCTCCAGCGGGTGACTTCAGCGATGGGTGTCATCAGATGTCATTAACGGCAGCAGTGTGTGACGGACTGCAGGGGCTTTGACGGGCTTCTGACAAGCCACTGACAGCCAGTGGAGAGGAGATGGGACAAGACTGATTAACAATGATCTAGAGAGAAAAAGAAAAGAGAGGGAGAGAGAGAGAGAGAGAGAGAGAGAGAGAGAGAGAGAGAGAGAGAGGCCCAGAGAGAAACAGAAAAAAAGGAAAGTGTGTATCTGCATGCGTGTGGCCATATTACCAAAAGTGTAGTGTATGTATGTATGTATTTGTGTGAGCTTGTGCATTCCTAATACACACAATCAGGACCTGGCAGCACCGCATGGTATCCTTGGCAACCCCAGTGGAATGTTGTCAAGGTTGTAATGAGCATGCTCAGTCTGACAGACGGACAGACAGGGAGCTGGCAGTGGGCCAGGACTACAAAGCCACTAACAACTAGGCTGCACGCTTGTATGTGTGTATGTGTGTATGTGTGCGTGCGTATGTATGTATGTATGTATGTATGTGTATGCGATCTCATCATTGTCTTATATTGCCTTAAGTCAGGTAAGGGTGGACAGCAAGCGAAGAGAGACTTCATTTCAGTGAGACTTTTCATCCCATCACACCCTGACTGATCAAGGCGTCCATTATGTTTGCATAACTACCAGATGTTTAATACCAGATACGGAAGTGGTCAGGGAGTGCATTGTGATTACACGTCAGTAAAGTTCATCCTAACCACAATACTAACACAAGCGATGCGAAAAGAAAAATGTAATAAAGCCGCGGGCTACACGTAGCAGCCAGTACATGCGTAAATGTACAGCAATACAATCAAATGAAATCCAATTTTTGGAATGAGATATATATGAAAAAAAAAAAAAAAAAAAAAAAAAATCAGTTTGCAATGAGAAGTGTAAATATATTTAGAGAGGAAGAGGTCAGCCACCAAAAAAATATTATGAGTCAGAGACAGCTGATGGGATGAATACTCACAATATTTCTCCTCAGCTTAAATTGAGGCCACAGCAGAAGTCAACTACAATCAACTGAATGTAGACTAGGAGCAGCTGTTATAACAGTGCCGAGACAAAAGAAGCCACCATCTGACCAATTTTAAGCCAGTATTTAATTTGATAGCTCCTCTATAGTGATGCAGAAGACAATGACAATACATGAATACAGGCTTCTCTCTCTGGGATGCAGTGGCTCTGGGCATTAAATTTGTAGTTGAAAAGATTAATTGTAAACAGGCTGACTGGCAATTCGTGTGGTGTCATTGCTGATTAACAAGGTGATGAGAGTGCCACTGCTCTGGCGTTCGGGGAGACCCAGAGTATCCCAAAGTCTCAAATCAGTCTTTGTCGCGGCTAAAGCCTCGCTGTCGGGCGCGGTTCCAAACCGAGACCTTGACTCTGGAGCAGATTAGAAGGGACAGCTGCTTCCAGGAGTCCAGTGGTCGTACTGGAATTGGGCATAGCTCATCACAATAACAAGGACACACGAGAGGGAGGGTGGGGGGCTGAGAGGAGGAGAGGCCATGCGGTGGGAGTGACTGGACTCGGCGTGGCTAGATCACAAGGCAACAGTGCCCCCTGCGACCGCTAGTGGCACTGACGCAAACACCACTGACCGAGTGCACACGGATGAATGTTTAAAAACGGTCAAAGCTCATTTTCATGGTCAGGTAGTCCGGACAGCTCTACCTGTTCACTCTTTAAAAGGATAGAAGAATCAAAGCTGTGTGGTGAATGGCTGATGATTTCACACGCTGAACCTAGCTGAATTCAGTTTTCATGACCCACCTGATCCACCTTCAAACTAGTATTGTTCTAGTGACATAAAAAAACAAAAAGAAAAGGCCATAAGGCCGGCCACCCTGAACATTCAGACTTTGTGTCTCAGTTGACCTGCTCTCAGAAGAAGACATTGCTAATTACCTTCATAGGATCAATGCCTCAGTAGGAATTCCTTCACGATATTCTCTTGGTAATTACTTTTGGAGCTCTGCCTCCACACTAAGGACCAGCTGACAATACATGTCTGGGACATGATCCGTGTCTCAGTAGAAATGCTTCACAAATAAGAACCTGGGGAATTCGGGGAAGTTCAAGCTTCAGTGAGCCTTGCATCAGAGAAAGAGAGTCTCAGTTGCTTTAGTTCTGTCTGAGATGTTGCTCCAAAATAATCCTTCGCCAAATAATATTCTCAGGCTGTTGAGACAGCAGGTCAGACACAAACTAACCTTGGTGGAGGACCTTGTTTGATACGTCGAGTCTCCTAAGACACTCACAAACTTCCACACGTCTGCTCAGACAGGCCTCTGAAGACCGGCATGTTGTGATCACATTGGCAGAGCAGCACAGCACACACAGACCACAGACTTGGAGGCACAGCCAAAGGAGCACCACATGCATGCACACAGAGACATACACACACACACACACACACACACACACACACACACACACACACACACACACACACACACACACACACACACACACACAAAAACAGCGAAACAGATTACAGAGCCGTAATTGTTTGCTTGAAAGCAGGAATCATCACCGAATTTCTTTGATGTTTGTTCTCTATTTGAGAAGATAAGGAGGGAAATGTTTAATTTAGGAATCAAAACTTTCTCCAACAACAAAAATTTGAGGTCAACCATTATTTTCTTGACACAGTTTCAGTTCTGACACTTCATGTCTCCTCTCTCCCATCAGCGTGCCATCTCTTTTTATACCTCAACTGTCCTCTGATACCCTCATCATCTCTCTGTTGGTACATCAATGCTTTTCCTCTCTTCCTCCTCCTTTGTTCCCTTCACTTCTGTACAGCCATTTGACATCTCTTCTGTTGCTACTGCTACCCTGCCCCCCCACCCCCCACCCGCACGCCTTCTTCACCTCTCTTCCCATTGGCCACGGATCCAGTTTCCTGCCAGGCCCCAGGGCTCATTTCCTGTTTGTCCTGGCGCAGGGGGCAACTTGTCCGGAGAGACCAACTGCTTGGTCGCTGCCAGCTGTGAGCACTTGGCACAGCTTGGCACGCGGAGCCGGGTTACACCTCCGGAGACCGAGTGCGGGCACCTACATACACAGACACGTGCGCGCGCCGAGTACACACAACACACACACACACACACATACACACAGGCTCGCGCCGGTGCTGCCATCTGCTCTTTACAACTATGGGCCACAAGGTAATGTGATGTAAGATGATAAACGAGCTAGTTTGGCCTGATGTAATCATAAAGTGTGTGTGTGCTGAGCACCAGGGTCGGTGTGTGTCTGTGCAGACAGCAATTGGCAATGAAAAAACAGTCCCGTTTGACAACCTTCTGTTGGTTCAGATTAATCACGAGCTAACCTGAGTTGCCGACCGCCACAGAGAGAGAGCACGCGATTGCTTTTTAACATCTCACCATGCAGAGCTTATGAGATCACATTAAGTGGTGCAGTCGTTTCTTATCATTTACAGCAGAGTTCACGGTTAAATGCAATGAATCTAATGACTTACAATTTGGGTGCTGAATCCAAATATTTTACAGTCAGCTTTGCACCTTCAGAATGAAACCCAAGCAACAAAGCCTGAAGCCTCGACATGTACAGTAATACTTCCGACCTCCCCGCCGTATCAGACAAACCTCCTGCTCCACCTCTCACTCAGGCTGCAAAAAAAAAAAAAAAAAGTGATTTCCCCACCGTGGCACAATTAGTGTGATAACACCGATGTTAATGAGAGCTGAACATTTTCCAGAGAGGTGGCATTCATACTGTTGGATAATTAAGAAGAGAGTCAACCTGGCAAAACCAGTGTCACCAACACATCGAGAGAGCGCACGCACAGACACACACACACACACACACACACTTAAATATGCAGAATCGCAGCAGATTTGAGCGCAATGAGAATAGAATTATGGCAGTGTGTGAAACAGGATGTGAAGATATGAAAATAGACAGCTGGAGGTGAAGGAGGCGAGATGTAGGAGTTTGTGTGTGTATGTGTGTGTGTGTGTGTAAGAGTGAGCAA